TCCCTACAAAGGGCATTTCTGTATAAAAAGCACAGCCATCCAGCATTTAAGCCATCTTCTAAGAATGCCATTGAACAAGAGAGGCTTAACTGAAGTTGATATATTCCCAGGTATGTACTTATGACACATATGCAAACCTTTAAAAGCTCTGTGCTGATTTATAGGGATCAAAGGAAATTGTATCAAATATGGACTGATTCCATCAAGGGTATTTATTAATGCTTTGAGAGAGCCTCTGGCAGTTCTCAAAGTTATGCTCTGAAAACCCTGGTAGCAAAGCATTTGGACAGGAACCTGAAGGCCTCTCAGAATTTCTGATTAATTGGGAGGAACCCATTGTCAACTCAGAGTCCATGTGTTGCCTTAAATTTACTAAGAATGTTAATTTGACAGAGACAGAAAAGCAGATGATTCCAAACATTGACACAATATTCTTGCTCTCTTTAAAATGTCTGCTTTGGGTCCTGTGACAGACAAGCTATTCTGCTCCTGAGAGGTAAAACAGCCGCTCAGCTGTTTCAGGCCTGAGTCTATGGGAGTACTGCTCCAGCATCCAGTCATCTTTCAGAGAGAGGATGGAATGTTGGAAGGAAGCACAGGAGGAGTGAGTTCAAATCTGCCTCAGGGAGAGGACAGTGGGTTTGAGAGGGTTTTTTTTTAAGTACCCATAGGTACACTTTTATTAATTTTTATAATCTACAACAAACAAATCTACACACTACAAACAGATACTCTACTACACATAACGTATATACCAAGAGTACAGTTACATTATATGCTTATATGCAATTACTTAATTAATAAAAACGCTATATCAAACACTTTCCAGTCTTCTGTCTTTTGTGTTCTCAAGTCCATTGTGCTATCATTGCCTAATCTTCTATTACATTTGCATTATTCCAATCATAAAACTTTTTCCATGTTTTTTGAAATGTCCACTCTTTGCTTTATCTCATTTCTAAAGTCAGTTTATCATTTTCTGCTGTTTCAAAAAGTTTATTCACAAACTCCTGTTTCGTTGGTATCACCATAGTTTTCCAATATTTGGCATATAAGATTCTTGCAGCTGTCGTCATATAAACAGTCAAATACCTATTCTCTTTTTCATAATCATGGGAGTACTGCTCCAGCATCCAGTCATCTTTCAGAGGGAGGATGGAATGTTGGAAGGAAGCACAGGAGGAGCGAGTTCAGATCTGCCTCAGGGAGAGGGCAGTGGGTTTGAGAGGTTTGAAGGGTAGCTCTGTCTGGTAGCGTGGCAGAGTAGTTTACCTCTACCTCTGGCAGCATCCGGTTGTGAAGCCTGTCTCTGGTTATGAGCTAGGGTTGCCAAGTCCCCACGGGGGTGGGGGAACCCCCGCTTGAGAGGCCCGTTCCCCACCCCGCCCCCAAAGTGCCAGACTTGCCTGGCATGATGACGCCACTCAGAGGTGACATCATCACGTCGGGCACATTGCAGGGGGATGCTCTATCATTCGAGGAAAAACTCTATGGTTGTCCCTCGAATGATTGTGCCCCCGCCCCCAATGTGCCCAACACGATGACGTCACTTCCGGGCAATGTGCCCAACGTGACAACGTCACTTCCGGGCAAGAAGACTCCCAGCAGGGTCCTAGACTCCCCCCTGCTAAAGCCACGGTAAGACTTGGCAACCTTATTATGAGCAGGTCTTGTATCATTTAGCCTGACTCTTGGGAAAGGGCAGGCTGGTGTGGTTGGAATCCTGTGTAAGTGAAAGGATCCAACCTGGCTGCTAGTCAGGGAAAGCTTGTTTGTGGCTGCAAATGTTAAAGAGAATTCACCACATAACCATACACCAATAAATCTTTGTCATTTCGTTGAACCTCCTGCTTCAATCACCTTTGTGCTCTTCATGCTCAGTACAAAATATAGCTCACGGCAGTAACCCACAGCCTTTATATTTGCTACCATAAGAACATCTTGTAACTGAGGGAAAGGTTCATATCTCTACGTCTGCCTGGTTCCCCAAAATTGTATGAGGCTGTGTGGATCCCCTTGGTTTCAAGAAAGGGCCTGTCGTTATTCCTGTTTCAGCAACTATTCAGGTATTCTGTGAGTATTTGATTGGTGATGATTGTGTTTGCAAGAAGGCCTATTTGACCTCCGTATACGGAGCAAATACCTCCAGTATGTTTCCTCAGTATGGGTATGGTGCAGAAGAAATGTTCCTGCATGTAACCATAGTCCATGAGTACTTTATGGATGTAGTTACTTCTCTTCTTTGGAGGTAAAAACGGGTACTAAACTTTTTATGTGCTGCTACTTCAGCTGTAACATGTGAAGTGGCCTCGAGTACCTTTTCCATCTATGCAATTACCTTTAATAGGAGACATGTATAAAGTCTAGCGCAGCAGTGAAACAATAAAGGTATATTTTTCTAGAGAGAGATTCAGGCTATGTGCTTCAGAGAATGCTAATTATCTGACAGAAGTTATTTTTCCTAAGGAAATAATTCTTGCCTTAAACGTGGTAGCTGGACAAATCCAAGTGTGTACGTATATAACATTATCTAGAAACAGCATTGTATGTTGATTCAAATAAGGGTTTGGGAGTTGTGCAGAGTAGACAATGCATTTAAACTCTGGAAAAACGTTGATTATATGTAGTCACAGTAGTAGTATGTTTTATGCCTCTTAAAATCCTAATGTTAATACTCATTCGAGAGATTAGTGATACTAGCTGCATCAGTAATCTTAATATGAATGACTAAAATTGCATTTCATTTGCTGTTGTCATTGGACAAAAGGATCACTTTTTAAAAAATTATTTGCTTTATGGTTTAAGTGAAGTTAAATTTAGGCCCATGTTCAATAAGTTATTTGAATGACCAAGTACGGTGCCTTTGAAATGTGCAGTTCTTTATTTCCTGTTCGCTTCCCATTGTTGAGAAGCAAAATAATGAATTATGAAAAGGTCCTCCTGCCCCTACAGTGTCACAGATATCCAAGGGAAAAATGTTTAGTACATAATTTCTCAGCATAAAGCTTTTTAGATCCTTTGAAGCATACAAATGTTATTGCTGAAGCCATTGGGCCCATTGAATCAATGATATGTTTATTTTATATTGCTGTAGTTACCATCTAGGTGGGAGCTTGGGTAATAGTAGGGCATTGTGAGGTTTAAATCCCCGTCTGCAAAAAATTAACTCAAATAGCTCGATAAAGCAACAGAGAAGCCACAGGCTTTCTCCTTAGGTTAGAAGAATAGATTATTTGACCAATGACTTGTGGTAACTAGCTGTTGCATTGTTTTACTATACATATTAGAAGCATGTGTATTGCTTAAAAATATGTGTTAAAACATATTGAATACACATGGCAGGAAGCTACCTGTGGCATATACATCTCTCAGAAAACTTGTAGCTTCTGTGCATGAGGCAGACCTAGGCTCTCTGTCCAAGAAGCTGGAATATACCTTGAGTTTATTACAGCCCCTCTCTTGTTGGCCTAATCCCACTGTTGCAGCTCATCTTTGTAAAATGAAGCCTAGTCATATCATTGATTTTTTAAACTTCATTTTGACTTTTCCAGTTGATGCTACTATTTGCATGTAGAAAATAAATAGTTCATGTGACTAAGCACATAATGAACAGTATACAAAAAGGAACACCATTAATCTCTGTTTTATAACCTGGGTTTATAGCAGAAGACTTGGACAATTAACTATTTCACTGCAAGCAGGCAGAAAAGTCACTGCCCACCTGACATTTTTGAACATATCCATGTGATCTTCTTCGTGGTCTCTGTGCATCACACCCTTGGGATACTCTGCGCCTGCGCTGACCTTCTCGGTACCGATAGCTAGCAAAAGGGATTTTCGCGCCTCTCCCAGGTCACGCGCCGGCTCCACTGCGCATGACCAAGGAGGGGCACGCAGATCCCGCCAGTTCCTTCTGACCGCCGCCCAACAGCCTTCAAAGAAACAAGATGAAGGGCCGAGAGCAGAGGGGAAGGAGGGCGGGTGGTGTGAATGCACAGATGACCACTCGAAGATCACCAGTTACAGGTAAGCAACCTGTCTATCTTCTTCGTGGTCTCTGTGCATCACACCCTTGGGAGAATAGCAAGCAATAACTCTTACCTGGAGGAGGGGCCGAGGCCCTACACCTGCGCCGTCTGCAAAATAGACCGACCCAACGCCACACTGACATGTTCCCCAATGCCATCTCTGATGGCAGACACTGTTTTTGATTATGTATCCAACATGCAGCACTCTGAGACTGAAACTCGGAAACAAGATGCATAGTTATACTTTGTAGATAGCTATAACTATGTTTTAGTACAATCACTGGTAAATCAATTGTGTCATTATTTAACAAATAACTGATTCACATAGCTAATTAAATGTACCTTTAAGAGGAAATGTGAGCTTGTGATGCATTGATGTGGAGTCTTTAAAGGCTCTGGCTCATTGGAAGAGTGATCAAATTCACCTTTATATGGAACTGAATTTTATATAATCATATCCTGATGCTTTTTGTATGGATACGTACACACTTCCTGCAGCCTATGTTCATCTTGATAAAAATGTCAGGCTTTTTAGGAAAAAGTTGAACTGTGCTCCCTTGATAATTAACTGAGCAAAATAAAAAGGCTGTGCTTGAATTTCCAAAGTGTTGTGGGATAAAGAGAGATTATCGTGTCCTGTTGCACCTCCAGATCATGCACAATGTCACTTATTTCACTGGAGTTCATTATGGAACGGAGTGTAATTTTTGAACTGGCACTTACAAGAGTGTCATCTGAAAGTTCTTAAAATTCATTTAACAGCCCAAAATTTCTGCTTGTATTATGTTCTTATTCAGTAATACAAATATGTTACAAAGAAATTCTCGACAGGACCGCATTAGATTTTCTGCTTGAGTCAAGAG